AAGTATTAGGTGTTCGGGCGACTCATTTGCTGTTTGCCAGCATAGCAAAGATAGATTAGGCAAAGTTATTAAGAAAGTGGATTAATAAGATAAGAAATAAATTTACTATGTATTTTAGAAAAGTGGATATACTACAATTCAAGGATGCCCTAGTAAGTAAGTAAACAACTAAGTAAGGTGGAGATGTGTTTAGAAAGCTCATGTACGAGGGTTTATTTTTAACTTCTTTTCTAATAATCAGTCTGGGGTCAAAGTAAGGATTATTATATCGTTGATAATAGCAAGTCTGTGTCTAGCGGACGTAAATATTTAGGATAAAAAACTAATAAGATCGTGAAATATATATATATATATATATATGTATATGTATATACCAATAAAAAAATTACTGTTAAGTAGTCATAAGTAGAGTTTCGAGAAATGTGGTCAAGACATGGCATATAATAGTCATTTAAATCAGAACAGACACACTGATTACGCTACTCGGTTTCTACTGTTTCCATCCTGTCAGTCTTTGAAAAAGGTAGATTAACTATTGAGGAACCGGAGTATCGGAACAATCTATAGAAATAAGTTGAAACATTTAAACATGGCTTCTTCTCGACTGTCCAGATCAAGGTGTTAATGTCTAAATGGGGAAGAACTACTAGCCCATCCCGAAGAGATTATATAAACACACTCGCTCTGACGATGTCTGTCACGTAACAGATGAAGAATCACATCGGACTCGTCGGACTCGCCTGATTGAGGTGAGGACTTGTTCGAACGCCCCACTCGAAGATAATTCTTAGGTATCTGGTAAAGCCAATTAAAGACCATTTTCATTCAGTTCTTCTTTCTAAGTGAAAAGTCGGATTACATTAAAGTATCAAGTGAATCTTCGAAGTTAAGCTTCTCTTCATGTAAACAATGCTAACCTCTTGATGACTTAAAATGACATTCAAGCCTTGGCAAGCTAATTATGTCCTCAATATTTCTTTTAAACTAAAGATCACGAAAGATGTACCTCATCGCCACCATAAACAACCTTTCAATAAAGTGGGTACTAAAAACCACCCATGTAATAGAATATTTGGGACGAAATATTCATATCTAACTGTAGAATTGAGGCCAAAATTGACTTGAGATTTAACCTCAGGTCGATGACGACCCCCATTCAAAATTGGCCTAGTCATTTGGGGATCGTGGCCTGGGATGGCGTCTCAGGATTGTACTTGGTTATGAAATATTCTTACTGATTCCTCTTGTAAACTTTCATCTCGAAGATTCTCTTATCAATAGCTTTGTAACATGACTTTATGTGAAGTAGCTGAAACACCGCTGGTTGATTACGTGCCTTCCGTTTTGAGAAATCATATTGGCGAAATTTTACAGTCCAGTCTTCGCAATAACAGTAATAACTTTCCAGATACAAACTCTCTGCAAAATGAATCCGTGACTCCGTCCACCTTTTGTACTATCACTCCGCTGGGCACGGGCTGTGCGAGCACAACAGAAGGCTCAGCATATCAATCTAATGATGAGGCGATGATGAAAACACGCCTTGTTCAAGGAGGGTCACAAGATGGAACTGGGTCAGTTCGGCGAATCGTAGTCACTGAGGATACGGATAACCGATCAACTATCGTTGCCTATTTTGACATGCCGGCTCAAAGAAGCAACATTCATAGCAGAATTAGTGGACAGATGGGCGAATTGGCTGGAGAAGAAAATAGCATGATGGGTCTTTCAGAAGGCCAGAAGACAACAATAACCTCTTTATCCGGCTATAATGCTTGCAATGAATATTGTTCTCCAGACGATATCCTCCTCGAGGATGCCAGATCGAATGCGCGCAATTCTGAAGATTTTTCACCGATGTCCTTGGTTCTCTTGCCCTCGAGCGAAATAAAACCTTGTCTTTCCATTAATCACCCGGACTTTGAACAAGATAAAAGTGAATGGATTCGGATTACTTTCAGGTTTGGTAAGGGTCAGGATTTAGAAATGAAAATGAGACGATCAGCCAGACTAAGGTAAGTGTAAAAAAACATATTTTGACTTGCTGACATAACTATGACAGCATCTTGCAAGTTTCCTTTGTCTCAAAAGTATTTAAAAATAACCAGACAGGTTTCTTCATGTCCTTTGATTATGATCTGGTATGATTCCAGATTTTATATTTGCGCCCAAAGAATTATAGTTATTGCTGTGTAACAAATTTTTGGCTGGAGGATAAATTAGCTTCAGTTTTTATGCTGTTAGCATCATGCGCTTTTTGCCCATAATGAAATGATTAAGCCTCCCGATGCAATTGAATTTCCCTTAGCCTTTCTTCCAAAAGTTATTCTCATCAAGAGTGAAGCACAGTTTCGAACTCATCTAGGTTTCATTAGCACCCCAAGTGGGAATCAAGCCCCAACGGTGCGGCGAACAGTTGCAACATACTAACGCTTCACCACACTATCATGAGTGTCAGTCGATCACAAGGCAGAAGTGAATTTCAAAGCAAGCTAGGCTTCTCCTACATCACCTTTGTATAGTTGCATTGTCGGTAAAGCCGGCATATTTTGCCATTACAGTCGACATCATTACTTTTGTTTTTGAGTAGGATTTCGAGACTATCAATATCTATTTTAGATAGTAATGGCCTCTAACTCCTTCTCAAAATGAATACAATTAACATTTTCGACCGTAATGGCAAACACATGTTAGCTTCAACGACAACCCAAATATGCCAATGTGAAATGGGAGAGACCTAGCTTGCTTTAAAATTCACCGCTGTCTGGTAGTGTGGCGTAGCTTTAATATGTTCAAATTTTTTGCTGAGCTACTTCGGTATGATTCCCGTTGGGGGTGTTGTTGAGACTCAGGCGAGGTCGAAATTGCAGTTTACCCTGGATTGGGAGGCAGGGCTAATTGATATTTACTTTTATCTTGAGGCTTACTCATCCCATTGAGGGAGAATTCACAACCACTTTTTCATCACCTTAGGCGACCAAATGCTCTTTCATTCAAGATCTATCGTTATTCTCAGAACTCTACTTAATTCTAATACAAATTATGCTTGTTTAGAAGCCTAGCTAATTCCAGAGGCCCAGCTCTCTTATTATTCTGTTCTCCAGTAAGAGATATCTGTCACGATTAGACTTCATACGGAGTTATTC